CCCCCCACAGTATAGCAGACCGGGTGGTAATATTTTCAAACCCCAAAATGTTACCACCGGGGTTTCTTATATTGCGTCATGTACGGTATTGTTTTCTTGGTTCGATGTACTGCCCCCCCCCCCTTTGCTTGGATCGCATGGTCTGCGACCCGTTTGAAAAACAGCACGAGGAATTGCTGGACTTCATGTCGTCCACGTTCCGGACTCCTGCAGGAGGCGTTGTCATCCAATGGGACTCTTATGAAGAATTTTGGGAGTGTCTGCCCAATATCCCAGACGCGGCGAAGAGTCTCGTGACCGACGCGCTGCCCACCTTGACGGAGCTGGTGGACTTGGCCAAGGATAAAAATTTNTACGGTGTTTGGTGATGGCTTTCAGGGACGGGGATAAGAAGTTCGCGGTTTTGGGTGGGGAGTATGGGGACCGGGCTGTTTGTCGAACCCAGCATGAGGTGGCTCTCGCGTAGTACTTGGCATGCTTGCGCGGTTTACACGGTTTCTCGGCGTGTATCAACACGCGTCCGTATAAATTATTGTGACGGGGGTTGGGGGGTTACGGGAACGGAGAGAGGGGACCACATTGTGCTCGTTTTTTTTTTTTAATTTCGTGTCACATTTTCTAGCGAGGCAACTGGTAAAATACAACGATCCTCATAGAAGGGGTAGTTCGACTTGGAGGAGGTGGCCTCGATAGCAGGAGAGTTTTTCATGTCGATACTTGCCAAATTTGTTGTCCGCGTAAACTGTGATCGCGAGTTCGATACCCCCGGCCCCATAACACGAACGTATGAAGCACAGTTTGGGGGGTTGTAAGCTTGTGACATAGACTGCTTCGGCAGGCGAAATCCGTCTCAACATGCGTGGTTCGTGCTTTGTTGCGAAGTTTGCATCACTCCGAAGGTGCATTATTCCGAAGGCTGTGTTTCGGTCGCGGTACTTNACTTGGAGGAGGTGGCCTCGATAGCAGGAGAGTTTTTCATGTCGATACTTGCCAAATTTGTTGTCCGCGTAAACTGTGATCGCGAGTTCGATACCCCCGGCCCCATAACACGAACGTATGAAGCACAGTTTGGGGGGTTGAAAGCTTGTGACATAGACTGCTTCAGCAGGCGAAATCCGTCTCAACATGCGTGGTTCGTGCTTTGTTGCGAAGTTTGCATCACTCCGAAGGTGCATTATTCCGAAGGCTGTGTTTCGGTCGCGGTACTTTTACAAGACATTAAAAAAAAAAACTTGAGACCGGAGGTGCTCCGGCGATGTATACGTAGTTCCTTTGTCATTGCTCACCGGCCACTTGGCCTTGTGAAGGCACAAACTTTTCAGAAGGTGAATATTTGAGGAAGGCCCTCTTGAGATGATAGTTTCCGACGCAACTGTACGAAAACAAGTCGCAGCACTTAACAAACAAAAATGGGACCAGCTGCCGGACGTACCTCTAATGCTTTCTCTGTCAATCGATAGCGCGTCCCTAGGAGACGGGACCTCCCACACACTACGCGTTGCTTCTGCGAAGTCCTGGTGCGATAACACCAGCCCCAACCACAACGGACATCAAGTCAACGGACCGCACAACGAATCAAACTCGACCTTTGTAGGCACGTCTCGCTGCACACCCGCCTCTCGTAACTGTCCCCCCGCGCTCGAAAATATCGGCACGTGGAATAGCATACACCATAAAACAACGCGGGGTCACGCCAGTCGGCGTCCGACCCCATTCGCCCGTCAGGTAGATTTCCTGCAACATGTCGGTGAAAAACAACCACGACCGGCGCTATGTTCGCCTGTTAGATTTCAAGCGCCCAAATGCTATCCCAACACTGCTGCAGATGCTGAGCGGTTCCTTCATTCGCGACGCCATACACATAGTTCTCTCCCTCGTTGTGGACAAGATAGCTTTTCGGGTCCTCGTAGTCCCAGTAGAGGTGGATTCCGAGCTTCACCTCCCAGGCCTCCTTCACGCGTCCAGTCCACTCCGGGCTGCGCGGATACCTGTCACGAACCCTCATGATCCGAGCTGNAACAAGATAGCTCTTCGGGTCCTCGTAGTCCCAGTAGAGGTGGATTCCGAGCTTCACCTCCCAGGCCTCCTTCACGCGTCCAGTCCACTCCGGGCTGCGCGGATACCCGTCGCGAACCCTCATGATCCGAGCTGTGAGCCTAGCGCACACGTCGAAGACGTCTTTCTCGAAGTCCCGTCGGTGCCTAAAAGCCTTGCCATTGCCCACTGCCTTCCACTTCTTAATCTGGCCTACGGTGTTCTCTACCACGACCCTGAAACGGCGCTGCTCTGTGTTGAACCGCCTCTCTTCATTAGAAAGATCCCCCTGTTGCGGCTTCCTGTAGGGTACGCACATGGGCAAGTCGCTGTCTGCTCGAGCGTTCCCTAGGTAAGCACCGTCCCCCATACCATCGCTCCAGCCACCGTCTCTATCTGCACAACGTTTTCACACCCGCCGGGACACCAGGGGGGCAAAAGTGTCGGGGTCCTTGTCATGTGCTCCACTATTTGTACGAAAGGTAGAAGAACTCTTCACCACAAACTATACGGCAATCTACATCGAATCAGCCTATGTAGTTAATGTTAATCTTCGTCTGGGTGCTTGACGCTTTGCGCGGCCAGAGGTTTGTCCCGAAACTCACGTCACCGAGGGTACTTTATATCGGTATGTCGAGTAGAACGCCCCCCCCACCCCCCATTCCGACTAACCTTTTGTTTGCACTTCAACATGCGCCACGGAATTCCGACTTGCATGTCCAAGCGCACTGGAAAAACGTTACTTACGCACAACACACAACACTGAGCGATTGACAACAGAGTGGTCCTGGTGGAGCGAGGGTCGCAACTCGAGTGAGCTCCTCAATACATACCACTTAGCATTTGGGACTCCGATCAAAGTATATGACGCACCCGTATCGGTTTACCCCTGACGTTGCAGTAGACGATATGGCTAGTTCCAAGGCCCTTGTTACGGGAGTAGTTCGCCTGATGCACCGGGGCGTGAGGCTCTGGTTGTCCCTTGCCGACCTGCACGGGATTCAAGCGGCGGGCGAGGGAGTGTGAAACAAATGTCCCGCATGCGCACGAAAGGCGAATAGTTCAAACGGTAGCATAGGGTAAAGAGGGGGGAGAGCGGCCTACCAACAGAGCCCATCGCAACCAGTACAGGTCTGGACAAACCAACGTCGCACAGACAGACAATTCGCACGGGCTAATGCATATTCGTTCTTTCGAGATACCCAGCCACAAACACTAAGCAAGGTTTTACTCTCTCTATGCATGTCACACATCAGCAACCAACGTAGGTGCTAGCCATTTAAGTCCTACCTTGGCAGGGTTCCGCATGTTCACCATGGTGCCGTCGGCGATGTAAGCTACACGAGGGAAATCCGGGTGACCCCAGGTTTGAAGGAAAGTGCAATGAGCTGCCCGCTCCGCTGCGTCAGGCCACTGGATCTCCTGTACCACACGACCATGGAAGCGAACAGAACCTATGAGTCAACTTCATGTTGAAATACAGTGTGAACTTATCGCGCACAGCAGACTCTCCTTACACAACTCCTTCACGCGCTGACAGGGAGCGTGTACGCGTCAGATAAAGGGATTCCCTAGACGTTGCGGTGGGCTCGTGACAGGCTAGTGCTGGTGTCGAGCGTCGGCCTGTTTCCGCTGACGCTTCTGCAGTAACACGAGGTGGACGCATGGCTCTAATCCTGAACGTCTTCCCTCGAGTCATGCCAAATACCACTTCCCACTCCGAATTCTTCAGCGTATCATGAGTCAATGAGTCAAGTTTGTGTTTTGTAGAATACAACTGCAACTCAATGCATGCACTCTCACCTCTTGCAGACTAGGCATGTTCTGCGCGGCCGCCGTCATGTCCTTGAACTCGTTGTGAAACGTCCCAGCACACCGTCCACATGCGAGGGCCATGTCCTCGAACAAAGTGTCCCTCCTGAGCATCTCCAGCCAGCACAGAACTCGGTCTCTGTCATCCATGCTCCCCCGAANAGTCGAACTCGTCCTTCTCCATCCTGTTTTGTAACGAATCTGGCTGCTACTGTGGGCATCATAGATCCCAC